GAGCCGCGGTTCCTCCACCTGCGGGCGGTGTCCTTGCCCGGGCCAAAGTGGGAGTCCCCCGGGCCTCCCCAGAAGGCGGTGGGGGCGGGGCAAGAAAATGGAAATTCTGCGCGTCCTCCTGGAACCCATTAGGCAGCTGGGGCTCACCGCGTCGGGCGGAGCCTCTTGCCGAGGTGGCGTGTCCGTTGGAGGACAGACGGGTATCCCGGGTCTGAACTGCCTGGTCGCGACAGCCCAACTGCCCTGCCGTCTTGGGACAGACGCCAGTGAGCGCTGGCCGACTTCAAGGGATCCGTACGTGACTAGAGAAGGAGCAGTGATCTGGTGCAGGCAGCGCGGGGCCCCAGGCCCCCTTTGTCTTCACTCTTGAGAAGATGAGCGTATTCTCGTCTCGCGCGAGGGCAGCCAGCTCTGCAGCACCCTGGTTGTGCGCTAGGGCCTCGCGGGCCCCACAGGTCTGAAACGCCCCTAGATCTGAGCTGGCTCCGTGGTTCAGTCATCCCAGGCAATCGCAAAAGCTCCTTTTAAAGCTTCATGTGCAAACTAGGGCCGACAGGCTGTAGTACTGCAGGAGATAGCTGTGTTCCAAGATTGTGTTCACGTGAGCTCTTGGTACTGCAGGATACTGCTTCTGACGCGAGACTCCGTCGATGGAAGTGAAGTCCAGAGTAGGCCTGGGTCTTCAGTAGGAGTTGTGTTTCTGTTCCTTGGAGCCAAGTCCAGCTTGACCCTGGAGGCCCACTAAGGAGGCGTGTGGTAGGGCTTCCTAGGCCCCGGCAGGTTGGAGATTCATATCCTGAGGAGGTCCTTGAGACTCAGGATCTCCTTATCAATCGCAGGCTGATTTCGGGGAGCCAGTTCCCAGACCCCTTTTCCTTTTTGTTTTCATGACAGCTCCCCAAGGCTGGTTGTGTGAAGAAGGGTGAGGGTAACACAAAACTTGCTGGTTTCTTGCCTAAGAAAGCTGCCTCCTTAGCCGCAGGATGTGGTGTGGCTTCAGGCACAAAACCACTGATTGTTTTATCTGCAAAGTCACATGTAAGCTGGGAGATTTTGCGAAGTAAGCCTTGTTTTGTGGAGTGCTCTACACGTTGGTGTTTTGCACTGGTGGAGCTTCATGAGGCTTGCTGTCTGAAATTTTCCGTGTCATCTTTATGACCTACAGTCCCTTTAGATTGTCAGCCACTGATCCCTTGAGAATTTTGTCCACTGAAAGTCAGGGAGTTAAGTACCTTTTGAATTGTAGACTTGGGTGCGGCGTTGTGGACCATGCTCAGGAATCCCTGTTCTGGAAGGCTCAGGAGCTGTAGCACCAGAGGCTTGATGGCATGGACTTGGCACGCCACAACAACTGAATCATTCTTTTTCTCAACCCCTAAGTGAGGTCCTTTGGTACTGAAGACCGTCCCACAGATAGGCCTGCTCCCCCAAGAGAGGAAATTTATGAGTACATCATCTTCCGGGGAAGTGATATCAAAGATATTACTGTATGTGAACCTCCAAAAGCCCAGCACACACTCCCTCAGGATCCTGCTATCGTTCAGGTAAATTTATTGATGTTTTTCTCTGTGGGCAATGTTTCTTTTTTGGTGGTGTTTTTGTTTTTGTTTTTGTTTTTGTTTTGAGACAGTCTCTCACTGTGTAGTCCAGGCTGGCCTTGAACTCCTGGCAATGCTTCTGCCTCAGCATCCCCAATGCTGGGATTACAGGCATGTGCCACCATGCCCAGCCACGTGGACATTGTTTCTGAGAGAAGTTGGTTTCTGTGTGGAACTTGGTATCATCTGTGGCTCGGGTATTCAACGTAAGGAATAACTCATTAGTGAAAGTGGTAAAGTTTTCATCTAACCTGGTGATGTTTCTCTGGGAGGTAACTCATGCAACACACAGGAGGGAGTGTTTGGCATGGCATAACCCCTTGGGTGGGTGGGCAGGTGTAATATGAAGGAGGTGATGCTTCTAATCTTGTCTGGACCTAGGGTGTATAGGGCATAGTATTTGGAGAAGTCTAACCCTGAGTGGCATGAAATGCTCGCAGAGACAGTAGGGCCTGCTGTCTTAATAGTGTGCACTTGTTAAATTCCAGTGTATTGGGACACTAAATTTGCAAGTCTTTTTTTTTTTTTTTTTTTTTCCTCTGTTACTGGGGGTGGAACTCATGACCTTGTGCTTGCTGGGCGGGTGCTGTGCCACTGAGCTAAATCCCCAACCCCCTAAATTTGCAAGTCTTAAAAAGCAACATGTTGGCTTGCTGAGTTATATTGCTGGATATAGGCCAGTTGATTTTGGGGAGCCAGTAGGTCTATATTCGTATGTCCTTTACTTGTGAATTTAAATTTTGTTGGCTCCTCTGAGGTTCAGATTGTACCAAATTTGGAGACAGGGCTACAAAGGAAGGTAGGAGCAGGCAGAGTGGGCTTGGGAGCACTTGGAGGAGTTCAGTCCAAACTTGAGAAAGTGTGGATCCAAGGGTGTTAGGTGACTTCAAAAGAAGAAAGCTGAGGGGCAAAGAGGAAGTAGCCAGGGGAAGGGCATAGGAAAAGATCAGACCCAGACAGCAGCAGTGCTCTTGGAGACTTGGTGACCAGAGAGAAGATGAATAGTTGGGGATGCATAAGTAGTTCCCTGGCTACAGCTGTACCTCTGAAGGCGGGTCTGTCTCAGATTGAGGGGGACATGTTCTGTTACAGAGGCTGATGCTGTTGATGGCAGAGAGGAGCTAGTAGACAGTTTTGTGTTAGGAGAAATTCATGTTAGAATCACATGAATAGGTGCAGGTGGGGATAAAATGTTAGGGAAAAGACAGTTTTAACCATACTGGAAATTTCCCCAGGACTGCTCAGTGTATCTGCAGTACAGGCTGACAGCATGGGGACCGGCTTCCCATCTGAGCAAAGGCTCTGTGTACAGACTTAGAGGGTGACAGGATAGCCTTGCACTGTTCTCATCCATGTGTCTCATTGTTCAGTCTTCCTTGGGCTCTGCCTCTGCCTCGCCCTTCCAGCCACATGTGCCTTACAGCCCCTTCAGAGGGATGCCGCCCTATGGCCAGCTGGCAGCCAGCTCCCTGCTCAGCCAGCAGTATGCCGCTTCCTTAGGTCTAGGTGAGTAACCTGTTTCTGTCTACACAGCTACCAAGAAGTGGAGTAATAGACCCTGAGGGTGGGGACATGCCCTTTGTCATAACTCCTAAATTGTGTTGTACAGCATGTTCGATAAATCACCCAGCACAGTGTCCACTGGTTAGTGTGTTTAGGAACTATTAGCTGAGAGTAAGAGGCAGCAGCCTGAGTATAGCACCAAATGATCCAAATCCAAATCCATCTGCAACGTCAGCCTGGGTCTGAATAGAAGTCCTGGCATACTTGTCTCAAAGAAGAAATACTGGTATATATACTAAAACTCAACTTTGATGCCTGGCATGGTGGCGCATGCCTGTAATCCCAGCACTCGGGAGGCTGAGGCAGGAGGATTGTTGTGATTTCGAAGCCAGCCTGGGCTACAAAGTGAGCTCAAGGCCAGCCTGAACTGCATAGTGAGACCCTGTCTCAAAAAAAAACCTCATCTTTGAGTTTTGGCTGTTTGCACATGTGTAAGCCAGTAAACATAACGTTCTAGCTCATTCTACTGGCAAGTACATTAATCGACAATGTTTTCAGCCAAGGTTGATGAGTCCCAGAGTAAGAATCCATTGTCTTATTGGGAGTGAGCTTGGCCTTGGCCTTGACATAGCTCTGCAGCTGTTTTCAGAGCGTAAGAACTGGCAGGTGGTCTACCCACCCTGACTTGGACTCCAGCATGATACAGCTGAGGCAGGGAACAGGAGTTGGGCCCCGAACCAGTTCTGTGGGTCCCTTGTTGGCTGTGGTTGCTATTCCTGGTGTGATGGGTGGCCTCTTAGCATGGCTCAGTGCTTCTAAAATATAGTTGTTGCTTGGCTCTTTCCAAGCTTTCTAGACAGAAGACAAGTATGTCCTGACTTACTTGTGTGCTTTCTCTTTGCTCTTTTTTCCTTTCTCTTCGTTTAGAGAAGTTGGTAAGCCCTCCAGCCTCAGCCGCTGCTTCCAGTCCTAGTTCTTCTCCATCTCCACAGCCCGTTTCAGAGCTTGACATGTCCTCAGAGCCACCTCAGCTCACTTCCAAGGGTAACAGCAGTTTGGAGAACTAACTGCATGCTGTCTTGCAGACCAGTCTGAGAGTGAGGGGGTGAGACAGCCAGAATGACAGGAACTGCAGCGGACCACTGGCCTGCCAAGGGACCGGGGATGTGCTGCTTCTGGCCTAGCACAGAGCCTGACACGTTAATGGTCACAGTTTCAAAGATGGGGCTGAAAAGAGTCAGCAGAGTGCTTTGTTCACTCCCCCTGAATCCAGGGTCTTGTTTTGACCCATCAGCAACCACCACCGTGGATGTCTTCACTTTCGACACAGAGCCACTTCCTTGAGGGCTTACTGGGTCTTAAACGTGTTCTAGATTGGCACACGGGACTCCCCTAAGCGATCATACACAACACATGGGTCACTGGTTCAAAACCGGGAGGCTGGGCGATGATCCCCAACTGTTGGCCAGGTGAACTAGTCCTGAGGAGTTTCTCAGTGCTGGTGTCAGTCACCTGTCTTTGCTGAGGCAGCGGCACCTGTGTGGTGTCCCAAGCTTCCAGCATTGTCCTTTCCCCTGAAGTTCTGCAGTTCATGTGGATGCTCCTCCTGCACATCTGTCCTGTGTGTGGCACCGTGCTCATTGCAAGCGTGAGTCTTCGCTCCCCCTACGTAGTCCAGGAGATGACCTGGGGCCCTCAGTCTGTTTGCAGATGTTGCTTTCTAAGTCCCATGCATACACCAGTCTATCTGAGTTGGAGCAGTTATATTTTTTTCCACTTAAAAATGACACTAGATACATTATTGTTAGGACCATTATATAAAATTGCCCATAGGGAGAGATTGTTTGAACTGGTGTGGTTAATAAAAACCAAATGAAACTGTTGGTCTCTTAGGCGTGGTTATGCTGAGTGAGATGATAGGGCAAAGAAAGTGGTCTGGGTTATCTGTTAGAGAACTCCTTGCCAGATACTTGCCCTGTGAATGCTTCTCTTGCTCTGTCAGAAGCAGCTTTTCCGCAGTAACTTTCTTAGTTTCTGTACAGGGTGCAAAAGCAGACTGTGCCCACCCTTCGTCTGTGTTGGGCTGCTCCTGTGGTGATACTTACCGCAGTTAGGCTCCTTTTTCTGTCTCAGTGTCTACGCAGCTCCCTGCTTTTGCACTCACGCAAACCCTGGCCCTGGGAGAGGCGCGAGCAAGGCTCGGGACTGTTCCCTGGGCTGGAGCAGCCCCTTCAGAGCTGCCTGGGAGCCCTTACTTGCTTTCTAGAGAGGCTCTGCTCTTGAGAGGGTGAGGGCTGTTTCCTTCGCTGCAGACACCTCTTACTGCTTCATCCTGTTTATGCTGCCAGCAAAAGTGACTCCAGGATTTGGTTTCAAAATCTGACTGCTGTGCATTACAGGTGTTCAGCATGCGCCAGAATGAAACGCTCTCAGACCCTGAGCTTACTCTCCTCTCGTAGGTGTAGAGCCCCTTTGTAGTTAGTGCAGGCTGGGAGTCTCTGGGGAGAGTTGTAGGCACCATTTTCCCTTTGGATTCCCTAACTCAGCTCTGAGCCTGGGTAGCCCAGCAGTGAGCAGCCTTCATACTGCCCTGTGACTTGATCTTCATCTGTTCCCTGGGCTAACGGCAGAGGGAACGGCCCAGCTGAGGATACTTGGCCCGGATTTAGACCCTCTCTGGGCAGTTGCGCTCTCCTGCCTGGTGTGCCTGCCACGAGAGAAGTGACGGGTGTAAGGCTGTGTTTCCTGTGTTTCTAAACCTTCCTCCCCTCCTCAATTCAGGAGCTGGTTTTCCATCTGCCCCAGTTGGCAAGAGCCCCATGGTGGAGCAGGCTGTCCAGACTGGTTCTGTTGATAACCTGAATGCCAAAAAGCTGTTACCTGGCAAGGGCACCTCAGGGACACAGCTCAACGGTCGCCCGGCCCAGCCAAGCAGCAAGACCGCTGGTGGTACTTGAACATTTACTCCCTTGCAGTTTGCTTTATATTCTAAAAGTGGCACACAACTTACTGGGTTATTTTTTTTAAACATTAGCCCATGTGCTTTGCAGGGCAGGTCTGTGTGGCACCCCTCCTCCCCAGAGGCCTTGTGTGAGGGTGGTGGCGGTGGCGGTGGTGTCGCTGATCCTGCTTTGGTGGCTGGGTTCAGGCTTCTGTAGGAAGCCTTACTCTTCTTGCCTTACTCTTTCCTTTGCGCCTTAGATGTAGTCCAGCCAGCAGCTGTGCACACTCAAGGGCAGGTGAATGATGAGAACAGAAGACCTCAGAGGAGGCGGTCAGGTAACACCTGTTGCCACTTGAGTCCTGGTAGCTGCGAGCAGCAGGCTGTGCTTTGCTTACCTTACGGGGGTGCTGGGACTGAGGTGCTGCATCTGGGTGCTGGGCTCCTGTTTTGCCTGCTGGGTGTCTATAAGCTGCTTTTTTTGTGGGGTGGTTTCCGGTACTGGGAATCGAACTCATGACCTTGCACCTGCCAGGCAGGCGCTGTGCCACTGAGCTAAACCCCCAGCCCCTATAAGCTGCTTTTAAAGTCATGCTTGAAACAGGGATTTGGTGGCTGACTTTAGCTGTGGCGGTCCTCTCTCCTCACAGGGAACCGGCGAACAAGGAATCGCTCCAGAGGGCAAAACCGTCCTGCTAATGCCAAGGAAAACACAATCAAGTTTGAAGGAGATTTTGATTTTGAGAGTGCAAATGCCCAATTCAACCGAGAAGAGCTTGACAAAGAATTCAAGAAGAAACTGAACTTTAAAGGTCTGTTTCATGTGGAAGTTGCCATCCCCCAGGGGTACTCCTAGTGTGCTGAGATGACTAGGGTGGCACAGGAAGCCAGCAGGATGCTTTGCAGTTTGGAACATGGAATGAAGTAGAGGTAGATGAGACATTTGGAGTTGACTAGTCCTTGTGTGAAACAGTGGTTAGGACCATCAGTGAGAAGAGGCTTCTGCTTAGCACGAGACACTTAGGCCTGGTCTGGGTTTAACAGTGGCTTCTCAACAGACCCTGGGAGAGTCACGGGAATGCGGTATGTGGTATCTGCATCTCCTGTACCTTTGTGTGCTCTGTTTCTCTCCACAGAGGACAAGGCTGAGAAGGGGGACGAGAAGGACCAGGCCGTGGTCACTCAGAGTGATGAAACTCCTGCTGAGGAAGACCTTCTGGGTCCCAACTGCTACTATGACAAATCCAAGTCCTTCTTCGACAACATCTCTTCTGAACTCAAGACCAGGTGAGAGTCTGAATGGACTGGTGGCAGAGTCGTCATATCAAGAGTCTCAGAGGCACGAGACTGAGGTGCTCTAATTGGAAGACTAAACTTGGAACTTCTAAGTTCAGCATGTATTCTAGAATCTTACTTTTCTGTTGTTTTGTTTTGAGATAGGGTCTTGCTATGTAGTTTCGGTTAGCCTGAACTCACTGTGTAGCCCAGGCTGGTCTCAAACTCACAGCGGTCCACTTGCCTCACCCTCCTGAGTGCTGGGATGACAGGTGTGCGTCGTCATGCCCACGAGATCTTCCATTTCTGCACAGTAGATAAGAGCCCTGGCTGCACCCAGCTGCACCTGCTAGGATGTGGCCCAGAAACCTTTGGCAGCTGCCTAAACCGAAGGAGACTCACTGAAGTCAAGCCCCTGCAGGTCTTGCTGGGCTCCATACACATTCAGTGTTCTCTTCCCCGGCTGGGCGGCTGGGCGGCCCTCTGTCCTGGGCAGGCTAAGGGCCTTGCTGGCTGAAGCAACTGGTAGTGTTCTGACCAAGATCCTCCTTTCGTGGCGTACTGGCAGCCAGCACCCGTGTCCTGTTCAGCTCCTGGACTCTGGAGGCCAGCAGAATGGGCATGGTGTGGAGCTAAGACCCATGAGTCCTACAGGTGGAGAGCACTGGGCCTGCTGCCAAGCACTGAGGAAGAGCAAGAGGCGAGCAGGGCAGCCGAGCGCGTGCTCAGCGCTCTACCAGGGGGCCGTGCGCGGTGCAGCACACGAAAGGATGAGGATGAGTAGGGGAGGCCCAGAAGCAGAGGGTGGGAGGGAAAGTGGTCAGGTCTGAGTTGTTGAACTGTGTGAGTGACAGGGCTACTCCAGGCAGCACCAAAGCCTGTGTGCTGGGCTGAGTGGGAAAGGCTAGGATGGGAGTGGTTGTGTAGGGTTTTGGAGGTGCAGTCATGATTTGGGTTTATTCTGAGCCTGTGGGTCGCCGTCAGAAGTAACTCGCCGATGCTGCATCACGTCGTGGGGAGAGGGCTGAAGGTAGGTGGTGGAGGCTGGACGGTCGGACAGGAGGGCAGTCAGTTGTGAGGTTATTTTGGACAGGGCATAGGTATGGTCGAGGGAGGGGCTGGGGTTCAAGTATTTTGAAGGTGGCATTGACAGAATGGACTGACAGGCTGTGAGAATTCCAGAATGCTGCAGGTATCTTGGCCTGGGGTGTTGAAGGACGAAGTCATTATTTCTCTAACAAGTCTCTGGGCACAGCGGGCTTCAGGCTGGAGGGTGGGCACTGGATGGCTGCCTGTGGGCACACTAGGGTCTGTGTTCTGCCCTGGTCTCAGGTCTACACAAGGCCTGGGCTTGTCAGCACTCCTTTCTCTGTGCTGCACACTCCAGGGGTTCCTTTGTTGCCCTCCAGGGGTTCCTTTGTTGTTCTCATGCTGTACCCTCTTCCCAACAATAAAGGTGCTTTTTTTTTTTTGAGTCAGGGTCTTGCATATGTAGTTGAGGCTGGCCTTGAATTCGCTATTAGCCTTGGCTGGCCTCGAATTCACAGCAGTCCTCCTATTTCAGCCCTTTGCTGGGATTACAGTTGTGTGCCACTACTCCCAGCTTTTTTTTTGTTTTGTTTTGTTTTTCTCCGGTACCAGGAATCAAACTCATGACCTTGCGCTTGCTAGGCAGGCACTGTGCCACTGAGCTAAATCCTCAGCCCCCAGCTTTCTTTAAAGCTTGAGCAGCCCAGTGTACAAAGAGAACCAGCCCGGGTCTGAACTGTGTCTGGGAGACTCAGCAGTGGTAACAGTTTCCAGCTCCAGGTCTTACTGGCTGCCCTGGCCTAGTAATCGCTACAAGAGCAGCCCATCCTTCCTATTCCTGGCTTTTCGGAGGATGAAACCAGGCTCAGAAACCTGAGTTGGTGCCTGTGGTCAGAACCTTGTCTTTGTTTTAGTTCTAGGCGGACAACGTGGGCTGAAGAGAGGAAGCTGAATACGGAGACCTTTGGGGTATCAGGGAGGTTCCTTCGTGGCCGCACTTCCCGCGGTGGATTCCGAGGAGGCAGGGGCACTGGGGCCGCTCGGCGCAACCCGACTTCCCACAGAGCCGGCACTGGCAGAGTGTGAAGACGCAGCCTCCGGAGTGGGTGTGGACCCTCTGGACCCTCGGGTGGGAGCATGGGGACCTGTGGACCCAGATGGAGCGAGGCCAGGGGAGCAGGCTGTGTGTCTGTCATCCCGGAGAAGGAGCCGTGACTCTCAGGATCTACCCAGTTTGCCCTTAGGAGTAGTGAGAGCTAGGCCAGCTACAGCCACGCTCCTGCGGGTGGACCCGGCCCCTTCCTCAGCAGAGTGAGGTTCTGTGTGTGTGAGGCTGGGGGCCGTGGTTTTCTCTTGTGAGCTGAGTGCTTGCTGCTCAGTAGGTGGTTGAGTGAGATTGCTACAGACTCAGTATCACAGCCCAGCCTGGCCCTGCGCTGTCAGAGCCTGTGAGAGCAAGGGCAGGGGACGTGTGTGTCTTCGGGCCTGGGCAGAAGGATGCTATGCAGAGCCCAGTCCTGAGCCGGTCCTCAGTGTGGATCCATGATAGGAAAGTGGGCAGCCCAGCCTAATTTGGGTGAGAGATAGGGCATTTGAGGGGTCTCTGGTCTTCATCAGACAGCTATGCCTGGTGATACTAGGCTGCTGATTGTGGAACAGGAAGGGACTGCCTGCTGACTTCTGTCCTCTCTTACAGGTTCCTGCTGAGGAGGTACAGGTGGTGCTGCGTATGTAAGGACACAGGAAGCGTGGCACATATGGGAAGTGGGTCCCACTGTTTACTGAGTTCAGCAAATTCCTGTACTGCTACTTGCGTTTGGACTTAAGTGAACTTGGACGTGGTCTGAGTTAGAGCCACTTGTTTTGGGGAAAGTATTCCTGGGTAACCTCTTTGAGGTATCTTGACCTACGTTCCTTTTTGGTTGTGCATAGCCTAATTGTAAGGTTTTGGTATTTTGCAAAAATGTTTCTATAGCAAAGGCTTGATCCTCACTTTGTGACTGTTTCTTTTTTATGACAGCTTTGACTTTTAAAATGGAACCAAATTTCATTTGGCACATGTGGCAGCCAAGTGCATCTCTAACCCATCTAGTCCCTGGTGCTGCTGGCCTGGCACCCTCATTGCCAAGGGTGGGATCTCAGGAGCCACGCAAGGGCGGCCCAGGGTGGGTCGGGTGTGTAGGGTGGGTGGGCCAAGGGCAGGGAAAGAGGGTGTCCCCGTGGATCATGTTGTATAAGTGACGTCAGGGCGAGGGCTGGCAGGGGGTGGGTGGACTGGGTAGTGGAAGGGATCCCTGAACAGTAGCTGCCGGGTGTTACATGGAGCCTGGCTTGTGAAGCTGTGGGTCAAAGCGCAGGATGAGCCCAAGCTGCGTCACCCTGGCTCTCCTGTCCTGCCAAGCCTCTGGCCCAGGTCACTCAGTTGGACTCGGCCATAGCACTTCAGTGTTCTCATCCACTTGGAATTGAGCCAGCCTTTTGGGGGTTTGGGATGGCGGCAAGGTCAGTTGACCTTATTTCCTCGACTGTAAATAGTTCTTGTGTTTTTGTTTTAAAGTGAGTGGAGGGAGGGTGGGAAGTATAAATTTGCTGCATGAATAAATGGGTCAGACCTCCAAGTATAAGCATGCATCCTCTGACAGGGCATTTTGTTTAAAATACGCACCTTGGTAACTAAAATTCCCTGAATAGCTAAAATGGCTTTAGGTCTGTACTGATTAAGTTACTGTAAAAGCTTGGGTTTATTTTTGTAGGCCTTCTTGGCTGAGAACTAGAACATTAGCATTGGGGTTGCTCTGTTGGAGAAATGTAAATTGTAATTAAAATAAATATGCAAACCTTTAACTTATTGTCTCTGCTGCCCAAATCACTGAAATCACCTCTCATGTTCAGCGTCCAGTCAGAAGCAGGCGCTTGGCCAGGCGTGGTGGCGCACGCCTGTAATCCCAGCACTTGGGAGGCTGAGGCAGGAGGATCATTGCAAGCTCGAGACCAGCCAGGGCTACAAAGTGAGGTCAAGGCCAGCCTGAGTGGCATAGCAAGACCCTGTCTCAAAAAGAACCCCCCCCCCAAAAAAAAACAGGTGCTGTTAAAACCTGGAGCACACTGGGCTGGTAGGATTTGCAGGGCTGGGGTTCCATGGGTGTAGGGAAGGAGGGACCCGGCTGCTGTGGTTGGAGTATGAGACAGCTCTGGGTTCACTGTGGGCAGTTTTCTCAGGGAAGTGGCTCTGCCACCCACCAGAAATCTGGACACAAACAAGGCTAAAAGTGGCCCACTTCAGCCTAACTCCAGATAACTGCAAAACTGGATCTCAGCACCAGAAGGCACCTGGTCAGCTGGATTGGTTCCCTTTACTACTGGCATGGCAGGAGCTGTGGACAGGCAGCCTTCAGGTGAGGGTACAAATGATGCCCATAGCCAATGAAAAACCTTCCTCTGCATGAATGTCCTATACAAGTGGCCACAGCACCAATTCTGAACTAGAGACTTGGCAGTGGACCAGGTATTTATTTCTCTGCTAGAATCCAAATGTAGTTTAGCCAGTTTACTACCTGTGACAAGCCTTGGTGTTATAATTCCAAGCTGACAGTCATGTTGACAGTTGGTACGAGGGCGTAGGGATCTGAGGCAAGTGGCAGTGTAGGTGTAAGGCCTAAGAACCCAAAGGCTGAAAGACCATGACATAACTGCCGTTGAACTGGAAGCCATGAGGCCAAAAAGTGCTAAGAGAATAGGGAAGACACAGGCTGTAAAGTGGAAAACATGAGACCTATCAAAGCACAGTTAAAACCTGAAATACAAAACTAGTGAACATATCTGCTCTTCAGGCTTCTGTCCCCACCCTTGTGTGTTGGTTAATGGCAAGTCACTGTGTTGAGACTGCTGGGTCTGCTGGGTGCCAGGTGTTCCATAGAGACCTCCAACTCTGGCAACTGGTTTATCTAATAGCCTGGAAACAAAGGACAGGTTAGAGGCAACAGTCATTTAAAAAAGGGGAAAGACTCATTTTTTAGTTACACCTAAAAGACAACGTTCTCCTCACAAGGAAAGGTTAAAAAATATGGAAGTTTATTGGGTACTCCGTGTGACAGATGGAAAACCCCATGTATCACTGGGACTCATCCATGATTGAGGTTAAAGCCACTCCAAGGAAGCTTTCTTCACGATGCTTTCTTTTGTTTCTTCTTTTCATTTTCTTCTTTTTCCTTTTCAATTTCAGCAACATACTTCTCAATTTCTTCAGGATTTAGAATCTTAAAAAAAAGTTTACAGTTAACCCCCATGCTGCACAATGTGCAAAACACCAGCATCCTTTATAGGGAGCTGGGTTTTGTACAGCAGCTCCTCCTCCTTAGTCCCCTTGGAAAAAAGACTTCATGGAGAATAAGGCAGTATTTGCCTGATCTAGTTCACAGCCAGTGCAGCAGCAGAGCTGCAGCTGACAGCCTCTGTGCCAAAAACACCCAGGTAACATCCTGAACCACAGGAATGAAAGTGGGAATGTTTACAGACATCTGCAAGGGCCCCTGGACATGCACGGAGACACAGCCACGGGAATGGCACTACAGGGACGTTACCCCTTCAGAAAGAGGTCACAGGATCATTCTGCTAGGGTTTCAGCACTAAGGGTGGGGTCTTTTCCAAGGCTTCCACATAGGTGACACACATTCAGCAGTTACCTTGAGAGGCTGATCTCGCCGCATGACAGCAAGTTCAATGTTTTTGCCACCTGACTGGACCACCTTGAGGGGAAGAAGACAGGAGTACACTGTGCTGCCGAAGGGGAGGCCCAGTACCCCAGGTCTGGCCCGAACACTTGGTGTGTGTGTGAGGCCTGTTCAGGATGCCTGTACTCACGCCTGGCTCATACACTGCCTGTCTGCTGGCCCTCCCTGGGCAGGCACCAGTGGCCTCCGGGAAACCCAGCCTCCCACTCCTGGCCTTGCAGCTACCTGCTCTGGCTTTACCACTTGCATCTTCAAGGTGCTAATGAAGGAGCTGCCAGCCACCAGCCCTGGGTTTCCTCTTAATTCCCTGCAGTGGCATAAGGCCTGAAAGGCCAAGTTCATGTCTGACCTGTTTCTCACGCTCTGTGCCCTGGCTATGCATCAAGTGCCCTGGTTATCCAAAGGAGCAAGTGAGCACCGTTCCAGGGCTCTCCAAGCACCGCAGCCATAACAGCACAGCCAGTGCATCTTTGCCCCCTGCCCAGTTTTCTCCCACATGCTTACTTCCAGGAGTGCCTTGATCACCAGCTTGATAGTCAGATCGTCTGTCTCAATGGCTTCATCAGTATAGTTCTTCTCCAGGAACTCACGCACTGACTTAGCACCTCTGCCTATGGCATTGGCCTGAAAATGACAAGTGTATGTTCGCAGACAGCATGACAACCCAGGTACAGCCTATGCAGGCCACCACCTTCTCCCAGGGGCATGCTGTCTGCTCTCCAGTGTGGGAGATGACAGCCCCAGCCACAGCCTATTTGCCTCCCATCCCCTTTTTAGCAACAGGCTAAGGTTCCTGATTCTTTCCAAGAATGAAATTAGACTTTTGACCTTATGCCAAATAGCAGTGCTGAATGATATTTTTGCTCTTCAACCAGACAAACAGGTTGTGTGTGTAGGACTAAGCCAGCTTACAGCGTCACCTGTTCTGAAGCAAGCGGCTCAGTGCCTCCCCCCGGCCTGGCCTTAGAGCCTCCTAGCAGCTAAGGCCCCTTTGTTCACTCATGGACTCACCTTCCAGGCATGGTACGTGCCAGAGGGGTCAGTCTGATAGAGGCGGGGGGTGCCGTCAAAGTCGAAACCCACAATAAGAGCAGAGATGCCGAACGGCCTGCGCCCATTGCTCTGCGTGTAACGCTGGTGGAAAAAGAAGTCAGTGACATCAATTGTAAAAAAATTCACGAGACATCCACAACAGCTGTGCTTAGTGAGGAATGAAAATGTTTCATGTAAGCCCCCTCTAGGTTATCTGCCATTCAAACAACAGACTAGCTAATAGCTCCCAAAATCCCTCCTTTCCTCTCTGCACCTTAATTCTTAGACTCAGCTAGGACTGGGATTGTAGCGCAGTGTACTGAGGCGGTGGAAATTAACAGGCACTTTCTGGCTCTATGCTAGTTTTAAAGATAAACATTTCCTCAGAAGGTGCAGATGGTTTTCAGTCTTCAAACTAACTGGCAGGCCGTCGTGGTCCAGAATGGCAAGATGAAACTCTCGATTCCCCTTCCCGGAGAAACATGAATGTGGAGTGTTTCGACTGTGGCATGCCAGGAAATGACAACAGACAGGGTCACTGAACTGGAGACGCTAGACTAGACCAAGATACACACGTACAAGGAAAGACTGGGATGAGGCCAGGGCCTAAATTCTAACACAAGCTGTGGAAAGTACTAAGACATGCCTAACAGAACAGTACCTGACCCGTAACTGGTGGTCACCCACCTGCTTCAGACTGGCGATGTAGCGGGTGATGTACTCCACCGTGACTGGGTCCTCCACAGTCAGCCGGTGGCTCTGGCACTCTACCCGGGCCCTGTTGATGACGATCCTAGCGTCAGCAGTGAGGCCTGCAAAGAGAGCAGAGGTGTCTGTCAGAGGCCCTCCTCAGTGCACAATGAGGACAGGAATTACACAGGTGGAATAGGATTTAACCTTCCACAGATTGCTGCTTCAGCACTGAGGTAAGTGACCGACAGTGAACCATCGGCCTCTGGAAACTTGTATGAGAAAACAGACATACAAAATACTGTATCAGACCCATTTAAATATGCAAGCTGAGTCTTCCTGGAAGCCTTTTTTGTGGTACTGGATGTAACGCAGAGAGACAAATCCCAGGCAAGTACTCTACCACTGAGCTATTTCTCCAGCCCAGCCTTGAACTTGTGGTCCTCCTGCCTCACCCTCCCAGGTAGCTGGGATTACAGGTGTGTGCCCAGCCCTCCTGGGGGCTCCTAGTTCAGTCAATCTCTGATTTCATTTACTTGATTTGAGATGCCCTTAGATCGGATCTGCTGTGGGAAGAAACGGGTGAGGCCGGGGGATACAAAGGCGCGAGTTTCACACATGCTGCCCAAGGCAAAGCACTGCCTCCCTTTCTGCAGCACAGGCACAGGCCTGGCAATCAGAGATGCCCAACGGCCTGCGCCCATTGCTCTGTGTGTAACGCTGGTAGAAAAAGAAGTCAGTGACTCAACTGTAAAAAAATTCACGTGACATCCACAACAGCTGTGCTTAGTGAGGAATGAAAATATTTCATGTAAGGCCCTCCTAGGTGATCTGCCATTCAAACAACAGACTAGCTAACTAGCTTTCAAAATCCCTTCCTTTCCTCTCTGCACTTTTTTTTTTTTTTTTTTTTGGTTTTTCTCCAGTACCGGGAACCAAACTCACGACCTTGCGCTTGCCAGGCAGGCGCTTTTGCCACTGAGCTAAATCCCCAGCCCCTTCCTCTCTGCACTTTAATTCTTATACTCTAGGATTGTAGTCCTACCAAGCCATGTAGCAATCACCAAAACAAGGGTAACAGAGGAGGTGAAAGGTTGCAGCAGCCCCAGCTGGATGTGTGTTTTGCCTACACTGGCAGAGAGAAGCCTAAGGAAACTCTGGCTATCGTTTCCTTAAAGTCCAAATCCACTGTTTCTAGATCACTTTTCATTGGTTTTTCATTGCTGGTTTATACGTCTCACAATTAGCCCCCCACCAACTGACCTGCACAGCTCTGTTCCTCACCAAGACTCAAGAGGAGGCCCTGACCAGACGTGTACCTGCAAAGGCCATGCAGACATTGTCGTCCAAAGCACAGATCTTCCGCACTGTTCTTTCATCCTGTAGTTTAGCCACTGATTTCTTTTCCACACCAAGAACAACAATGTCCCTTCCTCGGACACCAACCTGCAATAAAAACCCACAAGCCATGTGAGAATGACATGGGCCCACCAGGCATGGAGCACGAGGACGGATGTCAACAGGTATCCTGGCAAGAGTGAGGGCTGCAGCCCCGTGGAAAGCTGCCCACCCGCACTCTTTCTTGCACTGGCCTGGCTCCAGGCGCTCCACACCACTGCCGGCAAACCAGGGTCCAAGTCCACTCCCGGTGGAGCCAGTGCAGGTATCATGATGCAGGGGTTCATCTCGTGTTCTTAAAATACTGATAGGTAGTTTAGTTGTATTTCATTTCCACCCAAATAATCGTTTGCAAGATTTTGCAGTTGGTGATGAAGCGTTCCCTCAGGTGTCCTGAAGCTACTGTTTCTGGGGCTGTGAAGGCTCGTTAAGGACCACGTCCCTGTCCTTGTACTGGCACACAGCAGTGTGCACAGCAGTGGGAAGGGCCTGGTTTGCAACAAGAGAACAGCTACTACTTAACTTTAAAGTCCATCACTCCTTCCCTATGGCAGAGGAGATGATGTGGCCACTTTTAAACACGGAAAATCCCTGACTTTCCTAAAGTCAAGACAGGTGCAGAAACACACGGAACAATCATTCAAGCAAATTGCCTGCCTGGTACAGAGGCACTGTAGCAGGTGGCTGCACCTCAGTTCTCCAGACGCCAGGAGCACCTCCGCAAGGTCCTGAACAACAGCAAAGCTCTGCACATGCGCCCACAGGTCAGAGCATGTCAGTTCCCAGGAGCTTCCTCCCGCTGACTCGCCTGACCATGTGACCTTCCTGCCCAGGGAACCTAGTCAGAAGCAGTAAGCAGGGGGTCCGTAGGAAGCACTGGATGCTGAGGCTGGGCATCAGCAGGCTCCTCTTCCAGAGCAGTGTGGGCTGAGTTAGGGCATCGCACAGACCCGGGGCATTCATTAACCTGCAAACTGTTAAAGACTCGGAAACGGAAACACCAGATTTCAGAACCCCGCGTGCCGGCTTTCTCTACCCATTCAAACCTTTAAAGACCAAATGGTAAAAGCGGAGCACTCATGCTTTGACAAGTCACACTGGCAGGCGTCCTGAAGGCGTCAAGACTTTACATTTACAACAGCTTACGCTAAGGGCCCCAAACACGAGCCCTGGCAGGCAAGCGGCGCGCTGGAACCAGCACCCAGCGTCAGCGGAGCTGGGCGGAGCAGCTGTCTGCGGAGCAGCCAGATCCGGAAGCGGCTAGTCACTAGCGCAGGCCAAAGAGCTGCCCTTTGTTCTCGAAGCCCACCTGGGCCTCGCCAGGGCGGCCCCGCGTCCCTGCTGCCTGCGGGCGCCCCAGCCGGCCCTGGAGCCGCCCGCGCACCTGCAGCCTCCGATCGGGCGCCAGGAAGGGGCCAAGATGGCTCCAGCCAGCCTGCCGGAGGCGGCCGGCCGCGCGGGCTCAGGACCGAGCGAGCGGACCCCCGCCACGCCGCCCGCGCCACGGTGCTGTCCAGGCAAGTGGCCACAAGCGCCCGCGCGACAGCCCTGGAATACGGAGCCAGCACCGCCTCGCGACACCCGCAATCCCCGGCGCGGGAGCGCGCCCGAGG